GGTTTCTTTTATTGTTAAATTTGGGTTTTGATGGGCTGGGCTATGAAAATTGTTGATGGGCTCAATATTGGGGTGGATTTGTGGATTTGTTTTGGTAGATTTCATCCTTAACTTTTTAATTTTTTCGATTAAGTCCTTTTCTTGTTATTTTTCTTGAATTTCTTCACAAAAATTTTATATACCGATAAATCCGAAACGGTACACGAAAAATTTCGATATCCGGTACATACCGTTCCAGTAGCAAAACCGGTACATATGCCGGTACAGTATTGATAACTTTGGATTGACCCCATTTCTTGCAATTATTGATCGCTACATTTCTTGCAACTTGCAAGTGATTTTTTTTATATTAATCTCTTTTTATATCTGATAATCATAATATATCTTTATTAATTTAAAATTAAATCATGTCAAATCTCACTAAAAAAAACTTTTTTAATATTTATTTTTTTATTTAAAAAATTTTAATTCAAAATTTTATTTAATAAAAATCAAATTCTTTTCCCTTGAATCAACAATTCATCAATCATTTCTTGCAATATTGATCCCTAGTTGTCATACATGTGCCACAAGGTCACAACGTGGTTGGCCCCATTGCTTGTAATTATTGATACAGTGAGAAAAAAAAAAGTAAAAATTTATTTTTAATTTTTTACCGTAATAAATTTATAAATGTTAACTTTTTATATTATATTATGATATTTTCAACTCTTCACCTATATAAATTTTAAAAAATAACTTTTACTTAATATCAGATTATAAGATTTTATAAGTTTTATTAGTTGACTACTAATTCTGTTAACTGACTGTTAACTCTATTAATTGACTATTAGCATTCTATTAACAAAACTAACAAATAAAATTTAATTTAAATTTCATATTTTCTATAACAGAATGCTAACAGACAATTAACAAAACTAACAATCAATTAATAGAACTAATAAAACGTTATAACTTAATATTAAGTAAGAGCTATTTTCTTCCATTTGTATAACTGAGGGGTTAAAAGTATTATAATATAACGTAATTAATTAAAACTTATAAATTTTTTAAGATAAAAGATTAAAATTAGGTTTTTACCAAGAAAAAAAAAGATATGTGATTCCTTTTAATTTAAGATTTGTCTAATATATGTTTTTAAATTGTAAGTTAAAAATATAATAAATATATTTTTTTATAATTATTTATATAAAAATAATAAAAATTAATTAAAACTTATAAATTTTTTAAGATAAAA